AGATCGAGCGAGTAATAATATCATATTACGAAGAAGAATCGTGATGATGATGCTTTTCCATGTTAGGCACTGGTGGAGCAATTTCTACGATTCGACTCCCACGAAAATATACTTGAAGAGAATTTTACTGTGTCTTATTTTGTAGTGATCGCTAACGCGATGAATTTTTTACCTAGAAAGGATCAATACAGTATAAAAAAAAAAATGGCAGTTTTTTCAAATTCGCTGCATCGCGTTCTCACACGTATATTATTTATTGTCAATTGCAAAAATTAGCTGGGTACTTTTTTTTTAAATTATTTTTATTGGATTTTTATTTTGAAAGAACAATTAAATGAATTTAACGTGGAAATTTTTTTTTTAATTATTTAAAGCAATTGTTTACAAAGAAATGCAAGTGTTTTTTACGACTTTCCATATGTGTTTTTGCAGTAGCAATTTTTTATTAATTTCTTACACAATAGCACTCTCAAAATATTCTCAAAAACTACACCTCGAGTTTAACTTCATAAAGACGAACAAAAACTAAGTACCACGACAAATTTTTATTTGATTCAATTGAAAATGAAGAGAAAAAAAATTAATTAATACTTCTGGCGCGCTCTGCGATGAACACATGTACTAATTTTCGATCAATGATGTTTTGATCAATATTTTTTGTTTTTTAAGGCTACCTACTTTGTATGTTCGATATTTATAAGAAATCATTCAAGAACTCAAAAAACCTTGTAAAATTGAGAAATACATTAAAAATAAAAAAAAAATAAAAAAAAAAGATCAGAGTAAAATCTATGAGATATAAATTTAATTTCAACACGGCAGTATTGCACCATATCTTGTCAATGGTCCGAATTCTTTGGACTCGAGATTCGAAGGAAGCAGAGAACCTCCTCAGCAGTTAAAGATACCTCGTGGGCCTCGAGGACTCTCTCTCGTGGCATTCAAACGGCGCTTCGCGCGCAAGGTGGTCTTCATTGCTCGTCAGTGTACACGTACACATACTGCACTTCTACGTGGTACGTGCCGTACAAATTTAACGACTGCGCGCACACACACACACACACACACGAGAGAAGAAAGAAAGGAAGTCCGTCCTTTGTCGCACGAAGAGCTGGAAGATAAGAGCGCCGCGTCCGTGCGAAGATTGCAATCTCTCTTTCTCTTTCGCTCGCGCGGCACTTGCTCCGTTGTTGTTTCGTACGTATATATATGTATACGAAAGCCAAGCTGGAACGAAAATAATTGAGTCGGATTCTCTCGGGTAATTGAAGCGAGCGAGCACTGTGAGTAGGTACCTACCCCGCGATCATTTCGTTTTACGTTGGAGATGAAGTTTTGAGTTGGGAATGAAAGGGTATACAGGGGAGCGCGTGGGATGGCTGTTGCTTCTCTGAAGGTGGATCGTTTGAAGCTCGCCGTGGGTTTCAGTGCGAGTGTGTCTGATGAGAGGTATATGATGCAGTTTTTGTTGTTTGGGGTTTTTGGATGCAAAAACGTTTTTTTCGTTGCGCTATGGGTCGAATGAAACAGGCATTTTCACAGTTTTATCGTAAAATTGGAATAGAACAGATCGTTCGAGTAGCCGTTACTGCTTTTTTTGTATTTTGAATTGTGAATCTTAAATAAGTTGTAATATCAGAAAACGAGTTTTGGAACACGGTTTTTGAAAAAAAAGTGCCAAGTGGCTTTAAAATTGAAAGTCAAACGTAACCGCAGTCCGCACTAATAATCCAAAGCAGTCGTTACAAGGTAGCTGCTCCCTGTTTCAATTTCCGTTCTGGGCGATCGGAAATCAAAACCGTATAGACGAAGATGGGGAAAAAGGAATTCAAAGAGCCACCGCGAGTTCCAATATACCTGATGGAACTATTTGACCGTTGGGTGTGCTTCTTCGCCTTTTTTTCTGGTCAGCAAAATAAGAAACTTGAAAATCCAATTCGGAACGTAAAGGGTCAGTGCACGTGGAGATGTAAGATTCATGTATAAATAAAGTAGAGAGAGAACAAAAAATACATTATTTGACGTTTTTCGAGTTATGCCCTGTTTCAAATTTAATTTGAATTATTAAAAATCATTATCATTTGTAAATAAAATTAAAACGATTAATAATTTAAGGGCTATGTTCTTCAGTTTTTTATTTTATTGATAATGTTTCAACTACACACTAGTTAGTCCCCACTAATACGGTATTGTAACAAATCGAATTTTTAGACAACGATACATTTAATAAAACCTTGTTTACAATATATTCTTATCTTTTGCGACCGCGATCTCGTACGTTTATTTTGTACTCAATATTGTCTATAGAAATTTGCTTTGTTATATTATATTATATTTTAGTGAGATGATAAGGACTATACTTAGTAAATATTCGAAAAGTTGTCAACAAACAAAAACTGAACGGCATAGCTCTTAATTGGTTTTTTTCGCTGTTCTTGGAAACTTTTTATATTTTTGAACAAAACAATGTGAAATAAAGATCTTTTAAAAAAAATCCATTAAATCAAAGAAGGTGCACTATCGGAAGAAAGAATAAATTATGTGTGTAGGTATCGAAAAAAACAAGATGATGGAGCGACTCTCTCACTGCAGCACGGCAAGAGTAAGAGATAAAAAAAGAAGCCACGAGTAGGTATATGAAAGGAAAAAAAGGTTCGCAAAGAGAGCGTGCACCTGCCGTTTTCTGTCGCACCGGTGGGGGTAAAAATGTATACAAGCTTGCTTATATATACCTACCTTCGTGCAGCTTCCCCTGCACGTGTATTACATACACACCAACGCAACGCAACGCGTAAGTGTGCGATTCTCCCGAGCGCAATGAAAAACGCTGCACCTGCCTTCCATCGACCCCTCACTCTTCGTCTCTCAGAGATTTTGCACTTGCAGAATACATATATATATGTATGTATGTACAAGGTAGACGAGCAAAATGATCCCCTCGAGCCAGTCGACCTCTTCTTTCTTTCTTTCTTTTCTCTCCCTCTCACGTTTTCTTCTCGTTCACTGTTCCTCTCTTTTTCCCTGCACCTTGTACGCATCATAGTTGCTTTCGTTTTCTCCGCAGGTATATATACCTATACGTACCTATTGACGATCCAGTGCTACAGGTTGAAGATCTGCAAGCTGCGGTTGTGGTATCACATTGAAACGGACAAGGATATGGCTGTGGTGTATGTACTTATTTATACATGCGACTGGTATTACTCGATGAGATTTTTTCATCAACACTTTTGATATCTACTTGAAAATTCATATCAATCGAAGTAGATGAAAGTTTTTTTTTTTTCATTTTTAATATTTATTTAATGACAAGAACACCTTTCTCGGATGTTGAGGTGTACAAATTATGATTTATTAAATCGGCTGACGCGTTGCCTGGTGGGCTTTTTTGGGATTTAGGAGACTGTCTAAAAAATTGGTAATACCAATAATACTGAAAATACTCGTCGATTTCGAGAAGCAGCTAATTTTCATTGATGTGTTTTATTTCTCTATTACTGTTTTTTAAGTGCTACGATTGGAAGGAAAAGCTTTATCGCGTAAAACTAGTTTTTGTCCGAGTTACGCTTAGGAATACGATAAGTACGATAAGTACAAAAGGAAGTAAGCAATTGATAAAATGTATCTGTTGTACGTGAAAAGGTGCAATCACGGCGATAAACCATTTTCCGTGAATAGCATTTTAATCTAAAACCAACTTGTTTTTTTTTGTTTTTTATTTCTTGTTCACGACACCGTTCGATATCATACTTTTGTTGTAAATGAACTTGTATAGCTTGAAAATTTTTAGGAAAATCTGTGGAAAAAGTATTGAATAATAAAGGATACTGCATGTGATCAGTAGAGGGTGACTCAGAAATAAAATAATATATATTTTCCTGTCTTTTTTAATAAATTTTATTATAAACAATAGCATATTAATCCACTTACATATGTTAGTTTTCTTTTTAAACTCTCATAAAATTTACTATGCTCGCTTATTACAATAATAGGTTTTTTTATCGCTACACGCTTACTTGATAATCTAATAGATAGAATCGGCTCGCGTTTGAGTTGGCGTACCCCCAAGGTACTACAACTGACGCAGTGATTCACTTGCCACAATCGTCACTTCTCATCCATATTTTGACATTTTTTTACATTATTGTATTTTTGTTGCCAAACAAACGTCTCTTTCGCTTTCAACTTTAAATCTTTGCACGTCCGTATTTTCGCACTCACACACGTAATAACATTCATTGTTAGATTGTAATTTTTTTTCTTTTTTTTTATTTTTTTTTTTTATTTTTTATCTATTTCTCGCTTACAATGGTGTTTTTTCTCTTATACTTTACTTTCAGCCATTTTTCTCTTGTCTCTCTTCTACTTGCTAATCACACAATAAAAAATATGTACGCGATAAGTTAAGATTACTGAGATCATACTAATACATCACAGGGTTACATCATAAATTTACGTTAATTATTTTTTTCTGTTTTTTTTTCCGCTATTTTCTTTTTTTTTCGTCTCATAAATGCGACTTTCCACTAGTTCCTTTTAAAATTGAATTTGGAAATCAATGAAAGGTTACATTTATTTTTTATTCATGTAAGTTGCACTTTGGGAAGAATAAATAAATTAACAATAATTGTTGTGTGATCGTGTAAAATTTTCTCAGATTAAAAGACTTCGTCATTTTTAATTGCAGATGTGTAATATTTTCAAAAAAAAAAAAAAAAAAAAAAAAATTAAATGTGGAAGGTTTATCTAGAGATTTATTTTCTAAAAGTTATCCTTATACTTTGGTACGTTGAAAATGTATGTTCAGCGGATTATGCGGCTCGAAATGATGAAGCTCTCTTTGCTGAATGTCTTTACCAAATCGATTGCTCTCTATTCTTTTATACGTGATTCGTATTTGCTGTTATGATCAAGTGTTCCATATTACCGTGCACTAAGATCAAATTGNATATATATATATATTTATTAGGCCTTAGCCAATTAAAAAAAAGGGTCTATTTTACATATTTTACAAGTTAAAATACAAAGGTGCTTTGGTCACTGGGCAGGTAAGAAAACGGTTTTCAAGCATCACATCGTGAAAACCGCTTTACTACCCAAAGCACTAGAAAAACAACGTCGAGAATGGCACGCCTCTCGGCCCTGAGTCAAGGCAGACAAGTGCAATCGACCCAACCTCGAGAGGAGGACGCGTCTTTCCGGATCTCCAAGTGCACGCGGCAGCGCATATGGACAAGACCATTCTCCGATTCATCCGCGGTTACGCGTCGTTCACGTACCTGTGACGAACAGGGATTGTGTTGAAAAACAAAGACATTAGAGGGAAAAAAAATAAGGAATAAGTTAGTGCGCGTGAAATGCAGGGTACTCCCATCGCGGAAGGATAAAAAAATTCATTATGTTTCCTGACCTTTCTCGGAGATTGTCATCGCGCACCGATCGATGAAAAGAAAAAATTGATTGACAATAGGTGTAAGATAAGGCTCGCACTTTTTTACCTTTGCGTTTGTGACAAATATATATATACACAATTAGGAAGAGCTCAGAAAGTCTTTCCAAGCCCCTCCTTATTGGGTGCGTGGAGAGAATCCGTGGCGAGAAAAGTAAGGAATCATAATGTAAATTTTTTTGTCCTTCCACGATGGGAGTACAAGAGGGGAAAAAAAAATTGGGGAAATGTATAGGGCGAATGGCACAGCCAAGCAACCCTGAGTTTCACGCGCACTGGCTTGTTCCTCACTTATTTCCCTCCAAGTTCTTTGTTGTTTAACACGATTTTTTTGTTTGTCACAGGCACGTAAAAGACGCGTGACCGCGCACAAACCGCCGAAGGAGTTGCACACGATTGCGGGAGAGAGGCCCAGTGGGAGCTCCTTTGTCCTCCTTCGGGGAAAGCCGTTCGGCTTCCGGAGTGGGAGGAGCTCTAGCTGAGAATCTGGCTATTTTTGCGCGCCACTTTGCTGGCCGGTGGTGAGTCCATGAGGCCCTTCGACGAGCCGTTCAGCGTGCGCTTGCGGCACTTCATGAAATCTGCGAACAGAAATGGAAAAAACAAAGGTTAAGGGAATTCGGTGGGAAATTCTATCGTCTTTCGCATCGATGTAGTGCTCGAGGTGTGAGAGATATGCATGCGGGGCGCTTCACCTATTGTAATTCGCGCGTACGAAAAAACAAGGCCGCGCGACCCCACGATGTAACTTGTAAGTAATGCAAATGTAAGCGCGGCATTTCGCTTTTGTATTGCATTTTCATGGATTCGGCTGTGCTCTCCATAATGTGTGAATTACTTGAGAAATCTTTGGAAATCAGGCGTGAAATCACGTTACATTCCGAGTTTTTTTTTCCGTTATCTTTAATTCAAGTACTGGAATCGTAAATTTTTTCGCACACAGCAGCGGTCGTGCTAACGAGAGGATGACGAGCACCGCGTGTGCAAATATTTTTTTCCACGCTCGCGCTCTTGTTTGTAATCTTTTTTTTTTACGCGGTTGTAATGCCCCGTCGCGATGCTTGACCTTGAGTCGATGACAAACAACGACCGTCGGGGCACTGTACAGAGAATCCACGCACGAAAATAAAGAATTAAAGTAAAAAGGAAAAGCAGGACGGAGGCGGAGCTTATCTCGCGACTCCGCGGCTAATTCCATTGCGTCTGAGGTGATTCAAATTTTTTTTTTTCTCTCTTTCTCTGCGCTCGCGCTTCATTTGCTCATCCGGATAATCGGATTGCTTGTGTGATTTGCGAGTTATTGCGCACAACGAATGATTGCGCGTGCACATGGCAGCTCGTGTGGTAGTTTTTTCGCAGCTTTAATAACCTCGAGAAGGTAAAAAGTATAAGGAAAACAAAGTATCTTCGTTAAGGTTACAATGGATCGTTGTGTATAGCAACTCGCAATGAATTCGAAAAGTCCGATGATACAGGCAAACAGACGCGGGTCGATAATTATACGCGGGAGACGGCCACGCGACCCCTCGGCCATATTACCCTCGGATCGTGTCAACTGCCCTCGTCCTCCCAAAAAATATACATATACACGAATTCAAATGGGCGCTCCAGGGTAAGGAGCCTCCCCCAAAAACGAGGCACGCGGGCCCCGTTAATGGGCCCCTCGCCGAAAATTAAAATAAAGTGCGCGCGTGCCACGTTCGATACGGCACGTATGTACATCTTGATATACCGGCGTGCGACGCGATATATATCTTTCGTACCCCTGCCCCCATCTGTTACCCATTTATACTTCCCGCATTTCTAGACTCGCGCTCTCTCTGTGCTGGTGGTTTTATATCTAAATGCGTATACGTACATATGGATAGGCTCTCGTTCATGCATATGCATGCACGTACATATATAAGTATTTCCAACCCCCTCGGCGATGCTGAAAGGTATATATGCATATGGTGCTTGTAAGATAAAAAAAAAAAAAAAAAAACGGTTTTAAAAATAATAGACATGCACGCGTGCGCGGGTGGTGTTGGTTTATTTGCATTCGAGGGGGTTGGATTCCGCGAATGTTGATTCTATACCCCCTGTGGCTACGGACACCAACAATTATAGATATACAAGGCGAAATTTACGAATATAATTGTACGCGTGGCTTTTGGGTGTGTGTTGTTTTTTTTTTCCTTTACTGCTGCTGTTTGCATTTTACCCGCGCGCAACTGTTGCAACGATAATAAAACGCAGCGGTGTTACGTCGCGTGACTAAGAAATTACGCCTATTTGTAATATTACGGGCATGACGAAAGAAATTAACGGGCGAGAGCGCATTTTATTTGGAAACCGATCGATTTCGAAGGTTACGTGGTGCGCTGACAGCGGGAGAAAAAAATAAATAAAAATGAAGCCGTCAAAAGAGCCATTTAACGCACACAGCTTCTCCCGTTATAGATCTCGCGTACCCGTATATATATATATATATAGGGGCGGGAGAGGAGCGCGCTAGAACAATCGGGGTGCAAACGAGCTTTTTGGGGTGCGCACTCGACATCTCAATGTCGCTCACTGCAGCTGCCGAAAATTTTCGAGTAGTGAGTGACGAGCCATAAAACTGCAGCGCTGCGGACAATAATATATATGAATGTGTACGCTCTAAAATGGGGGAAGATCGGACGACCCCCCCAGAGCGTCACGCCGATATCTCTGCGAGAATAAGAGCCCATCAGCACATGCTTCACCTCAGCTTGCGTTTATGAGTTTTCCCGAATTTTTTTTTTCATACACTTGGTCCGAACGAAGATAAATCACTTCGTTTCGATTCGCGCTACAAAGGTGCGTGTGTCAAGAACGAATGATCGAACGTGATCTTTTTCTAGGGGGGGCGGGAAAACGAATTTTTTCGACAGACGGGGACTGACAGTTGGAGAGGGCTCGATAATCGAAGGGGCTATAAAAGTTAAACAAAATATACACGCATTTTGGGGATTGAGACACGTAAGTTAATACTGTCGAAGAAGAAGAAGAAGAGAAACCATCTGTCTGATGATAACTTTGGCGCGCCAAATCCATGCGTAACGGTTACTTTTAAAACGGGCGCGTGGGTGTAAGGCGTTGCATTAAAGGTCAACCGTTGCGGGTAAAATCTAAGACAGTTCCGTCGAGAGAGAGAGAGGAAGTACTACGTCGTACAAGAAAGTCAGCCAGGCAGGAAAATATGGAGAACGGAAGTGAGGAGCGTTTAAATCGCCGTCGTCGGTGCGCATGTTATACTTTTCGAGCGAGTTAAAGCCTCGATTTTAAATGGTAACAGACGAGAGAGAGAGAGAGAGAGAGAGAGAGAGATATGGCGCGCAAAGTTACGAAAATAATGCACACAGCTGATTTGTATGTGTATATATAGAATATAATACGTACCCCCATGCGCGTTGGTTAAAAATATAGGGGGAGGGGGGTGCGGTGTATTACGGTATCCGTGCGAGGGTGCAGTCTCGCAACCCCCATATGTACGTATCGTTGTACCGCACCGGCATACCAGAGGCTTTTATGTATATATTGTAACAGCTGACGCTGTTGCTTTCTCCCTCGCCCGCTTTGCTCATTAATAAAGTACGTTACGCTGCTTACCGTATACGCGGCGGGCGAACGTCATATATAGATGTATATGTACATCACGCTTTCCCTTTTCCGCCCCTTTGGTACACATGTTTTTGCTACAGCTACCCCTCTCTCTTCTTCTACTTCTTGTGTTTCTGCGCGATGGCTCCCTTTATTTTTTTTTCCGCCCTGGTATATGGAGTTTGGTCGATGACGACGACCCCCCATCGGTGATGTGTAATATAATGTGCAACTTCGAGTACTGAAGGAAATTTTTTTTTTTTTTTTTTCGAGATAAGGAGTGGAGAGCGCTGTGTTTCGGAGATGTGTCGTTTTTCTCTCTGTGCGTCTTGTCACGGATGGAATCGAGACAGAAGGGAAGCTTAACGAAAATTTACGGTTTGGACGTGACAAGTATTTTTTTTTTTTTTTTTTTTTTTGAGGGATGAAGGGGGGCTGGATTGACGGTGATTAGAGGCAAGTTTTTGGACCTCGATCGATGTGATGATGATGGTGATACTGAATGAAAATGCGGGTTTGGAGGATTGAAGCTCGAAGGGGTGCTCGAACACGGGAGGGTGAAAAAATTAAGCTGGGAGTCGGGAGAGACTTATTATTATTTCGAGTGTTTTGTAAATGTAAAATCAATACGTGAGTTCTAAAAATATGGTTTGGAAGAAGAAAACTACCACCGTCTGGTCTCTCGAATCTCTCGTTCGTGCACCCCCTTGATTGTGGGCTCAGAGGGCGACGATTGAAAAAACACGTCTGTCCCACGAGGTGCGTATGTACAGCCGAAGCTGCACGCACCGGGAGATAAAATATAAACAGAGACGACGGCGCTCTTGAGTGCAGCGGATGAGAGGAAAAAACGCCCCCACTCCTGTTTGCTGTCGCGGCACGGACGAAAATAAAATTCGTCGTCGCGTGGGTATATTTTTGTAAGTGGAAGCGCAGTACTTGCACGAAGAGAAACAGCGCGAGGGATGATTGTCTGATGGCACTCGACGAAGGATACAATGCTGTGACGATAATGTCCCTTTTTTTCGGTTACGTTTCTTTTTTATTTTAGGGGGAAAAAGTAATTCGATACTCGGTTTTTACATCTTTCAGCAATGATAATAAGCGACTAAGAAATGAATTGTTCGCTTTTTTTTACATTATGCAGATTGATATATGTTTTTTTCTTTGAATCCATACCTTTGCACATTTAAACATAACGAGGTAAACAAAAACGAAAGCGTGTAAATTTATGGATGTCAGAATGTAGTTAACAAACTACACATAAGTACACTTGTTAACCAGTTTCTCTTTGAAGAATTACTCATGGTATCGGGGTAAAAAAAAAAAATCTGCTGGTACCTGATTACAGTCGTCATACAACTATAACACAGCATTAGCATTTTTATTTATTTCGCGTGTTTCTTTTTGATAAAGACATTCTTTTTACACGCGTCTGTCATAAACGTGTTTGGATGTAAAAATAGTGACTAATAAAACTACTAAGCATAAAAAAGATAAACGGACGGAAAAAAAAAGTCTTATCACACGAAAAAAATCTCATTAGTCTCGACATTCTTAAAAGCTGATTAAACGTTGTCTTCTAGCCAACTTGAAAATGTTTACCAACGAATTACACATATTGGTGCAACATTGTTCTAACGCATGTTTTAAAAATTCATCGCTCGAAAGAAACGCACCTTTGCAGAGCTCAAATGGTTGTGTGCCAATGGCTCGAAGTAACTCGTTTAAAATAACTCGGGAACTTAAAAATATCTCGACAAAAACTTTTAAAGCATCCCAGCTAAAAATATTCCACGTACATTGAAGCACACGCATTCACACTCACACGAGCAATACATCGTTTATTTTTTATTTTCTTGCTGGGGAGGGGAGGGGGTCCGAAATTCGAAACGACAATGCACTACAATTTTGTCGTTAACCTATAAAAGCTTATTCCAGTGACGTGCATTTCGATGACAACGATAGCTCAGAGCAACGACTGTTCATTATTTCGACAACCAATAACGGCGCAGTTTAAGTAGCAATTAGCGAACTGCTCCGTGATTGGTTGTCAATCATGAGGCAGTTTACGTTGGCTTTGTTCTTATGTGTACGAGCTGGCTGTCGTCATTTCGGATTCCCACTTCCTACTAGGTGTTCTTCTTTCACACACTAGTTGAAAATGTAATACGACTCAAGTTAGTGGCGCTCTGGCTCATCAAAGCCAAAGCCGCCATCTTTGTCATTTTACAAGTACAACGAGATAAAGAGAAATAAAAAAAATTAACAAAGATTTTTACTCACCGGTTATCGCCATTTGTTTCCTCATCTGACCAGGCGTGGTGCTGCTACTACTCGTACAACTCCTCCTGCTCTGCTTCACATGCTGTACCCTGGCATTCCTCTCCTTCGTCATGGCCGTCGTCGTCAAGGAACCAAGGTTACAGCTCTCCTGTGGCGGCGTTCTCTCGGACTCACACATCGAATGGTACACTTTGACGGGCGTAGGTATCGTCAGTGAATCATCGGCTATTCTGACTGTCCTTGGCGAGAGCATGGCTGAAGACGACTTTTTCGGACTCGAGGGCATGCTTTTCTTGGTATAAGGCATACCGCGCCAAGCGTAAGGCTCAGGAACGTCGTCGTTCGCCGTAACGATTTCCCACTCGAACCTTGAGCCACTGCCGTTCTTTGGCATCTCCAGCCTAAAGTCAAAACCCCAGCGCTCGGTCTCCTGGATCGACTGGGCTTCCAACTCATCTTCAGCCATAGCACGTGCCGCTACGTGATCCACTGGACCGAACAAGTCACGCTTCACCATCGCCAAAGCTTCTCGGCTCGGCTGTACTCGGCCTCTGATGCTGCTCCTGCCGGTACTCCTTGGTGGCGTGCTGGCACTGCCAATCCTAATTATCTCCGTCATCAACGTGGCAGCAGGATTGAGTACGCGGGTACTCATTTTTCCTCCTTCTTGTTGCTTTTCAACTATAAAAGATAACAATTATTGTTGAAGACACTGCTCGGAGGTAAATCATCCATCTTTGCATCAGGCTGGATAACAAAAATAATCCAAGTTGCTCGTATGTACGGGTATGATGTACAAATACCTATTGCGTGTCGCGCACCCATAGCTTGTTGCTGAACCAACGAGAAGAAACCTCAGTAGTAAACGGAAGAATATTTTCGCCTAAATCACACCGGTTTGGTAGCAATTTCGTCCAAACGACAAGAAAAACCACGTGAAAGACGGTTTTATCGGTTCGCCGAGAGTCGTGGTTATTGTGACACGTAACACGTGCGCTCACGGTATACTCTCGCGACTACACACGATTTCACAATGTCGCGCTGGTTTTTATCGCGACACTGTTCTTTGTCTTTCTCCTCCCATATCTTCCGTGGCCAGGGCGACATCCAATCATACACGCACGAGTGTAGTTTTTGTCCACTTGGACGAGAAACTCCTCAGAATTTACGCGGGAAATTCTTGTTGTACTCTCTTGTGCGTTGATAACTTCCTTCTTTTTTATCATTCCCTGCTTTTCGTGCCGTGTGCAAGATGAATTCAGAAACGGAGCGCGGGATCACCGTCGATACTATCGATCTCGCTATCGATATTGTTGATCGCTCGCTCTGTGATCGATTTTTTTTTTTTTTTTTTTGAACACACGCACTGTTTCAATTTTTATGTATAATCATAATCTTCCGCGTCGATGAAAAATTACGAAAGTCGGATAATACGCAGTGATTGTTCAACTGTTATTATCATTTTGTGTACTTGTCCCCTGATTCGCACGTGTTCACCGAAACAAAAGCCGAGTGACAGCTAATGCACTGCAGTGACGAGCGTGTCTCAGCACGAAATATTCGTCAAGTGCTATTAGCGAAAAAAATAAAATAAAAATTAAAGAAGCAGCAGACGGAATTTTCCTGTGTATAAGTGAGTGACTTCTATACGTCGTTGCCAACCTGCCACGTTCATCGCGTTCCAGCCCCAAGGCTATCGACAAGAAACGACTTGTAGATACATGCACGTCCCTGTCTTTTGCTTCTCTTATTTCATTTGATTTTATTTTTCGGAATTGTTGTTTAGTTCTGTTATTTTTCTTGCTCTTTTAGCTGTCTCCCGACTTTCATTTCAAGAAACACGTGGGGAACTAATACAAAATGACGGTAACAGTTTCAACCTTTCTTAACTTTTTTCTCGACGCAAAGGTTTACGATGGTATACAAAATTTTACGCGCTCCGTTTCTGAATTTAATCTTGCACGCGGCACGAAAAGGAGAGAAGAGGGAGTTAACATCGTACAAGAGAAAGCAAGGGAGCGACCTCGACTAACTACACTAAATTATCGGAGAAAGTTTCGAGTGGTTCCCGCTCTTTTGCGTAAGTATATATATCGTGCTGAGCAGTCTCTCGTCAGATTTGCCGAAAACTACACCAGAAAATATGTATGCTAAAGTATATTATATAGGTATACATTAGCATATGAACGGGTGTCGTTTTAGCCACAGTTGAGATAGCAGAACGTCGGGACAAGAGTGCGCGTATGTACACTCGAGGCACTTTATATTTGTCGGAACGATGAAAAATTACCTGTTAAGTGACAGTACGTCTTTGTTATATTATACGTTACAGGACATCATTGACCGTATGTAGACCAATCGTTCCGACAGATATAAAGTGCCTCGAGTGTACCTACAGCAGATGCTAAGGGTGCAGTCCCACCGTGCGTAATACAGCTGCGAAATAGACTTTGCGCAATAAAACGAGCCAACCAAATCTATTGCGCGCCTTTTTATCCTGCTCAGCCAAAGTTCGCCCCTTTCATATGGGCAGGAAAGACCGATGCGCAACTAGTTTACGCCCGTGAGTGCAAATGAGAGGTACTTTTATCTCGCTTGCACTAACAGGCTTAAGTGGGTTACGCATCGGTCTTTCCTCTATTACGCGCCGTGGGACTGCACCCTAATGGTACGGGTGTCTGCAAAAACGATGTATGTGCGCATGGGCCATACATACGAAAATCACGACTCAGCAAATACTAATACATCCATCTTTCGCGCAATAACTTTTGGGCGCAGCACGTGATTTTTATACTTTCCTTGCTGTCTGGATAAATTGCTCCAATGATGTTATTTAATTGAAAGTATTCTTTAGCTTATTATGGCGGAGGTGGAGTTTATCCTCCTTTGCTCGGCAACAAGCGTTGGGCACGTGTCACACTCACACTAGGTATACGTACACACACATACATACATATGTGTTGGGTACGAACAGCACGGGTTATTTTTGTTTTCCGGCCTGATATTATTTGTAAAGTTCGATAATTCACCTTTGAACACTGTCCTTAACAACACGGGATAGATGGTTATGAACGCACTTATTCGTAATCACGGGCTTATTTGTCACACTTGCTCCAAAAATTGGGGCCTCTTGATAGTGGCGACGAGGCAAAGACTCACGTAACACACGCGTGAAACGCTCTCGAACAACTGACGCTCGCAAATATTGTTGCGAGCAGCGACGACTGCTGCGCGTAGTGCGAGTCCTGCAAACCTGCAATAATGGGTGCTTCGGGCAACTTCGGTTACGCTCGTGTACGGATGAAGCTGGTTTCGATCGCCAACCGCCGCCTCTCGGATTCCCACCACTTAGTATTTTGTGAGGGGTAATTCTACTTATACAGATTCTTTACGCCTTCCCCTCCGTCGGTCGCCCACTTCACGATCATTGAAACGGACACAAGTGTGGGTACTATATATGGATAGGCAAAAGAAGGAAGAGAGAATGAAAAAGAGACGTCATTAGGTTCGTTTGGAGCTTAATTCCACCTCAAAACACGAGTTTTGCTCCGAACTCACCAGTGGTCCAGAGTTCCGCGTTATACTTCTACGCCATAAATATAGATATACTGACTGTAGAAGTTTGTCAGGTGAGTTCGGAGCAAAACGCGTGTTTTGGGGCGAAACGGAGCTCTTCTGAGCTGCTCCAAACCAATCTAATGTACCTGGTATGCCTTCCCGACAAGAATTTGATCCGAAGGCTAAGACCAGGGCCCAGATAGGCGAAACTTACATCGGTGCCTGGCCAGGCTTAAATGAAGAGTTTATTACACAGTGTAATGAGTTATACCCCATGCTATGATCAGGCCCTGGCCAAGATAAACGTATATATATTACAGCCATTTCTGAGAACTATGCCCGATAGACTCTGCATTTACATGCTATCGTCATTGGCATATTAAAAAACCGCCTCAGATTTGTTTGTGATATGAATCATTTACACAGCAAAGGGGACCTTATTTTACACAGCTTCCGAAACATCGGACCACAGTTGGAATACGCACATGAGCAATTAGTTTCTCAGAGGTGCGAGTCGAATGTGTAAAGATCGTGTGCAACTTTTTCGGGCAAGTACCTCTATGAATTTTCACATGTGCTTTGTCACCATGCAATAATCCTCGTGAAGGGAATTGGGAACATGCCTGTACCACGTGACACGGTGATATATACATCATTACTAGAGAAAAAGCAGGACAGGCCTTATGGGAGAAATTAAGTTTTTTTTTCGCGGTGGAAAAGTTGTCGAACTCAAAAACTTGATGGAGCACATATTTTTAAAATTATTAGAGTTAGGTTATTTTTTGAAATGATGAAATCGTTTATTAAGGCCGAACAAATCTTTTTGACGGTAAGAAGTACAGTTAACCCTTCATTGAGCTACCCGTTTCTACTTTCTGCAGCTGCTGCTGTCACCGTTGCGCATGCTTAGACGTGCTTTATGTTATAAGTTAAACTGCACTTCGTACCTTCAAAACGATATTTTCAGCCTTAATAAACGATATTATCACATAAAAAAAATTTAAACCTAACTCTTATAATGTTAAAAATGTGAACTCCAATAACTCAAATAACTCTTTGTGTTTTTTACTTTTTTCCAACCGAAAAAAAAATAAAAACTCAATTTTCCGCCCTCGGGTGGTTTTGGGAGGCTGGTACTTCCTCGGGCGAAAAAACAGTTTTCCGCCCTCGGGTGGTTTTGGGAGGCTGGTACTTCCTCGGGCGAAAAAGCAGTTTTCCAGAACTCGTTCGAAAAGTCTCCTTTACGAACCTCGTTACGTCCCTCGCCCTCGGCTCGGGCCGCAAACCTCTCGGTTCGCAAACAGAGACTTTTCAAACTCGTAGGAAAACTACCATTTCTTACCAAGGGCGCAAAGTGCAATTTTGCGCCTGTGGGCACATTTTGCACCCTGTAAATCACTTTGAGCCCACGGGCAGAAAAGTTTTTTGCACTCTCCGGGCCCAAAGTGATTACAAAGACGCAAAGCGGCAGTTGCACTTGCCCATGGTGCAAAATAGTAGTTTTCGTCGGATAAGTGCCATCGTCTCTGGGGCTATTTTGTGGTCCGAGGGACCTGCGAAGCAAGGGACCAAGGAACGTAACGTAGCTACGGAGCGATGACGCTTATGTGGCGAATCCTATTTTTCCAGCCACGGACACACCCGATCCTCTAAAACGCCTGAGGTCGGAAAATAGCACTTTACGTTCGCTGTAAGAAAAACTTCTTCCACGAGTCGGACATAAGAATACAAAATCAATCGTATTTACATGCACTTTCTACGACCTACGTAATGACGGTGTTCATCTTTACTCCATCTGTGGAAACCCCGTTTATCCTACCTAAAATCTATTAACCCCAATTCCCCTTCCCTTAATTAACCCTTATATTCTTCTATTTATCTTTTTCCAACTTTACCAAAATTCCATAAACTGGGCTCCAGGTTACGATAAAGTACACTACACTTAATTACTCTAATTCTATGGTCTTAAATTTCAGTAAGAATTTGGAAATGGTAGTTTTCCTACGAGTTTGAAAAGTCTCTGTTTGCGAACCGAGACGTTTACGGCCCGAGCCGAAGGCGAGGGACGTAACGAGGTTCGTAAAGGAGACTTTTCGAACGAGTTCCGGAAAACTGCTTTTTCGCCCGAGGAAGTACCAGCCTCCCAAAACCACCCGAAGGCGGAAAAGGTATTTAACTGCCACAATCGCACCAGAAATAGCTAAGACCTCGTTGGTAAGCAAGACTAATTTAAAAAATATAGAACACCGGAAATAATAATAGAACTCTATTAGACTATGGCTGTTTATGTCTTATATAACCAGTCCTTGACTCACTTACAAATTCCGAACTAAAAAACAACTAAGCCGATTCTCCGAAGCTCTCTTCCCTTCAATCTCTACGATGTTCTGTTTTTCTCCCCGAATTAAAAAACAACTAAGCTGGTTCTCCGAAACTGTCTCCTCTTCTATCTGTTTACGACATTCTGTTTTTGTCTCTGTGGACTAGTTATATTATTAGCATGCACTTCACTCCAAACTTTGAATTACCAAAACTTACAAGTATTCACGACAGTAGTAATCGAAACAGGAAAAAACAAAAAATAATAATGCTTGATAAAGTAATGACAGTCCGTTCGCTTCGATTTCATCATCGGGGGTTAAGGGTTAATTCGAGATTCAAGGTCGCAGATAAATTTTTAAGCCAAAAATTCTTACAATCAGCAGATGATGATAACCTTGTAACCCAATTGACAAAAAAAAAAGTTTTTTTTTCGAAACGCAGTTAAAAAACGCTTCGAATCGCAAGAAACGTATATCCATATGCTACAAGTAGGTATGTGTAAACAAGAGCGAACGTGCTCAGTTTTGGCGGGCTTTTTCGCGTGTACGTCTCACACCCATCCGCCTTCCTCTCTCGAGAGGCTTCTCTCTTTCGCAATCCGTATAGGCAATCTATACTACAGCCTCGAACAAGCTGGTGCCTGCTTCCATCTCTTTCTCTGTTTTTCTCGTGCTCCCTCGCTTGTATAATATGTGACGCACAAAAGAGCGAGCAAAAAAACCCAGAGTTTCGTCAAAACAAAACGGACACCATACCTAGTTTATCTTATCGGAACTAAGTAGCACAATTCGCCTCTATTTTTCGATCTTTTCCTGTCATTAAAATACATGCGTCTAAATATATTCTTCTCGTAGATAGATACTCTTTATTGTTATGACACGCGATTGTGTTATTTGTTTTTGTTCTTTAATTCGCAATAAATTTTATGTTAGGTAATTTCTAGTATGAAAGTGATTGAAATAATCATTTACGCTTGTAGAAACAAACCCAAATTTTGGTAAAGATGTATTTTTATACTTTTGAAAGACGATTATTCGTGTTTACAGAAGAACGCATGGAAGAGTCAGTGATATTGATTATAAATTAAAAATACATCCTTAATCTTGAAGCTTATTCGTTTATCTCCAGACTTTCACAACACTTCAATGTAATCGATTACTTTTGATGCACAATAATCTGTTTCACCTGCTGTACTCGCTTATTCACACCTCAATTAATAACTTTGCAATCCTCTTTTCATCTCCAATATGTGCACTTACTTGTTATTAAAAAATATATGCGATAAATCGTAATTATCATTTTTTTCAAGATATACGAATGGTAGCTAACAGACAACGTTTTCTGTGACCTACAGAAACATGTTTTTTAAAATATTGAATTATTTATTAGGTATTAAAATAATTTGAGTTGTGGTCTAAATATTGCTGATATTTCAGGAGTTGGATCAGTAGAGCAGTTGAGTTCCTACTTTGGCAGCTTTAAACGTTACTGCAATGTGTGGTATAGGTGTTTTTTTGATAAATGAAAAAAAAACTAAAAATATAAACTACTGCCATTGCAGTGTTTTTTTTAATGCTAAAAAATATTACTGTGATGAAAAAAATCTTTAAAAAATAATATTAGAAAATTTAAACAGTTTAACTGTAGTCCAACCCTTAGAAATCAAAGTAGAATAATTTTTTTTTTCTTTCTTATAGAAGAAGCTTTGTCACAGAGAAAAAATTTACACATAGAGGATTCTCTTGAGAATTTTTTTTTAATTTTTTTTTGTAAGTTAATTTTTTTACTATCCATCCATGTTTAATTAAATCGTAAGTTGAAAAATCTAAGAAAGCGGCCAATTTTCTGCAAAGTAACATATGTCAATAAAAAAATGTATGTTAGTGTGTGTGCGTGTACGTTTTTGTAAGTGTAGAAATAGCCATATATTATGATTACCTCAATCGATTTTGATCAAACAAGGCTAATTTTTTTTCCAACTTGATTCCTATTAGCTTTGAAAAAAAGAATTTATATTATGCCGTCTAATTTTTTTTTTATTTCTAATTAATCGATTTTTTAATTCAATTTTTCTAAAAAAAAAAAAAAATAGTTGATTTTTTCCGTTATTATCATTAATTATCATTGTTTTAGTAGTATAAAAATGATACACACCAAATTAACTTAGAAAAAAAATCTTCCTGCGTAAAAAGAAAAATTGGAAAATTATTACAGATGATTAAATTAAAAATTATAGTACAATTGAGTAAAAAAAAAAATTACTGAGATGTATGTGAGAGGAAGTTTCATATCAATGTATGGCAAAATATAGCTTCGACGCAGCATCATATGAAATCGTACTCTTAAACACAACTCGCCTTCCTTCTCT